TTTTTGTACTTTTTGTGCTTCTTGTGCCCGTTTGGTGGTGCTGACCCCATTAGCTCAAGTACTTGGGCAATACCCTGGAGGGAATGAAACTCGTTGCCTTTGCCCTTCCATTGGCAAATTCTGGACTCAGCAGATCTAATTTTATGTACTACACTGTAGTGTCACACTCTGAACATGTCTGGATGTTTTGTGTCTGGATATATTACAGGACAAGTGTTGGATAACCAGAGTCGAGCTCCTTGGAGTTTGTCATCTATAACAGATTTCTTCTGGTCGATAGCAGATTTTGTGGTTCTGTTGTAAGTAGAAGTTAATTCTTTTCGTGAGATTTACTTAAGATTTGCCATAGGTAGAAGCTACTTAGTGCTATCAGTAACACTGCAATAAAAACGTTGTGTTCACTCTTTAGTAAGTATCCTTACTTCCAGATCTATATTCTATATATCTATATACATTCCACTTCTATAAATGCTTTACTATGACTCTGTGGCTTTGGTCATTAAGCACTACACCATACTTAATAAAGTGTATGAAAATTGATGCTAACTTACCCACAGTTCAAATGAGTTTTCTTACATACACTTTTGCTAAACAGCTAGTTTATAATACCTGATAAGTAATTAAGCTATTATTTGGAGGATTTCTACTGATGACAGCAGATTCTGGCGATGTAAAAATAATAACACAGCAGCAATCACAAATTTACAGCCCCAGGTGAAAGCCAGTTAAGAAACAAAGTTCTTGTGTTGTATTCAACAGTCCTTCATTATTTCAGTTACAGGTTTATAGTTTAGGCATTTCTCACATATTTACCAGAAAACTAGATTTTATAGTTTGAGCCTCACCTGTAATTTGGAATTACTTCAGATTTTAGCTTGATATGTAGGAGAAAAATTGCCAAGACTTAAACAACAATGATCTGGACAAGATACACTGTTCATTCCTGAACACTACTCAGTGCTTTTCAGGCCATTTCTTATCTTGCAATCTAAAAATTGAGAAACTATATCTACCAACCAATTCGCCTAACTCTTGTTTTATTTTTCAGTTTCCAAAGCATTATTCAACCAGATTTGAGAAGAAGAGGCTACACATCTTCCTCCTACTCAGGATACAATGATGGAAGAGGGTATTTTTTTCACATTCACACCAGTTCTGGTTTTTTTCCTATCTTAGCAAAATTACATGAATCTGAGTAGATTACAGTTGTGATTTGCATTGAATGGGGTTGTGCAGGAAGACTAAAATGTTTACCTCCAGTATTGATAACAATACACAGCTTTGGACAGCTGCAATAACAGCATAGCCTAATGCTCTCTGAAAATACTTTTCAAGTCAGTCTAATAGCCAAGATGTATCTTCACTGAAATTCTTCTTTTCTTAGACTTGCTTATACTCGGTATGTGATTTACATTACCTACAGATAAAGCAACACTCTATAATAGGGATACCATTTCTATAAACGCCATAGCCTAACTGTTTTGTAGGACTGCGTAAAAGCATCAGCTGTAACCTTCTCACGTGAGACAGGAGCAGTGGGAACAGTGTGCATAAGAGAATTTTTCTGAAAATGGGGTTGGGGTTTCACACGAAACTCAACTTTTTCAGAGGTTCTGACTTTCTAATTACTTTAATTTAGAGACAGTGTTACTATATTTCTAGTTTAAAAGTTTAATGACCATTGAATTGGTTTCTTTTCAGGCCCCCAGCACAGCCTCGCCGTAGGATGGGTCGAATAAATCACTGGGGTGGAGGCCCCAGTCCACCACCAATGGCTGGAGGTGGATGAGGAAGGTAATTCCTGTTTTGAGCAGTTGGGTTTCTTTAATAATGATAACTCAAAGTTAAGGTAGAATGGAGTGTTTTGTCCTCCTTTTGCAGAAGTTACCAAAACAGGAAGATAATCACAGTGGTTAGGTACTTCCAGTAAAGAGGGGGAATAGGGAAAGGGTGTTAAAAGATTTTTGACTCAGAAATGGTGGCCTTTCACTTTTATTTGCACAGAAGTGGATATACAAAGTGTAGCTAAGATTTTTGAGCACAGCTGATAAAAAATTATTTATAGCTTTTCATCTATTTTGGCTGTTAATTTAAAGTTCTGCACAGATCAGTAGCAACTAAAACCTTGTTTGCATTTCTCATAGTTATTATATGACACATGAGGTATTTTTGTTTGAAGTAGATACTTCTCAATAGAAAAAAAAGAAAATAATAAAGTTGTTAAAAGTCTTAGTAAAAACTTTCTTTTACCCTGTTACAATGACATACTCATGCAAATCTGGAATTCCAGTGAAGTATAAAGATCAGAGTTGCTTAAAAATGGAGGCAAAGGCTCTGGTCTTTAAATTTGTTACAGCTGCCTGGACTTTAACTCTGTTTTACTAGTTACTTTGGCTGGCAGTTCCATCTGACACTGAGTGTATATACAATATGGTTTAATTTACTTTAAGACGTAAGTGAACAATCCGTTCTCGTCAGTCACTCCCTGTGTTACCATAACAAAGGTCACAAGGGAAGAAGCACATGTAGGTGATTAATACCTGTAAATCTCATAGGAAAAAGTTCACAATCCAAAAACCACATACACCTGTATTTCAGTTCCCTAGAAAGAAGATAAGCTCCTTCCAATAATCCCTTCCAGGATGTTTTGGGTTTTTTTATTTTTGATGAGACATGAGGCCAGCAAAGACTGTGGGGAGGGCTTTTGGGTCATCACAGCAATGTGTAACCTGGTCAGGAATAAAGTTTGAGACTTTAAATGTCTCATCTAGCTAAATTAAGAACAAATTTATTTTAAAATTGTTACTTAATTCTTATCTGACAAAGGCCTTGTCTTTAAATGCACTTACTTATCTTCCAGGTAAATGCCTGCTGAAGAGGCAGGCATAAACATACACATTCACAGGATGAAATGAAGAGTTGGACCAAACGAGTTTGAATGTTGTGAATGTGTATGTCTGACTGGGAACTGTTCTGTGATACAAGCAGATTAATGAAGTTGTACTGGGAACTCCTTCTTCAAGGATCCAGTGTAACTGAACCACGGTTTTATTAAATACATGTTTACTGTCTAAAGTCTTTGTATAGTTTCTGAACATTTTACTGTAGTTGGAAAGTAATAAGTAAATTATATTTGGCTTGTCACGAGGCTGACTTTCTCATCATTTTTAGGAACTGAAAAAATCTGAAGCACAGTAGGTTGTTTACTATTCAAGTGAGGAAGAACACATATTTATAGCTGACACAGATGGTCCCTAAAGAGTCAAAGCAGTGCTTCGTAAGAGGTTTTGTATTTACTCTGTTTTTCTCAGGACAGACATTCTCTACACTTTGCTGTATTTTCACTATATTAATGGTACTCTAACAGCACTTTTAAAATGCAGTTTAGAAATTACCTTGTTTTCCAATCCTTGCCTTTTACAAACTTGCTTCCTTAAGGCACATAATGGGGTTTATAACAAACACCTCTTGAAGCAGCTTGCTTTTCCATTATAAACTTACTCAGATGTTTGTTTACTGTACCAATTTTGGTAAGACTTTGGGGGTTTTTTCAGTAAAATTGAGTCTTCTTATTGCATGAAGAAAAAGTTAAATACTGAGTGCTAACATGGAAGAGTTATTTTCTTTCAAACAGTAACTACCTTTTATATATAATTTACCCACTTAGGATGGAGTTCCTTACTGTTCTGGGGATTCATTTGGGATTTGGGTTTTTGTTTAAAGAGAGCTGCATCTATTTGAGAAAATACAAGAATCGAGATTACATTATTTTCTACAAGATGCCACTGCAAATGTTGTACCAAAGTCTCCCTAATAATGTCTAGTTAAGGAAACTTTCCTGTCTGACCATCCAGGAGCCACTGGGGCAGTGAGACTCAGACCACCCGAGCTGGGACCGAAGCCCATTCAGGTCGGTGGCTCCAGTGAGCCGACACGTGTCCCGTTTGACTCCCAGCACTCCCCACACGCACACCAGTCAGACCAGGTTTCCCATAGCAGAGTTTCAGACGTGTCAACCCTTAAAATAATTACATCTTGGTGCAATAACTAAATAACAAAATAACAGCCCGAGCTGGTGTCTCCGAGGAGGGACCCCCGAACCAAGGCACCCCTGAGCTTTCACACCCTCCCAGTCCTGAGCCTGGGGATGTTTGGTTCCCGCTGTGTCTCTCCGTGTCCGGTCGCCCGGCTGAGCCACAGGTCCCCGTGTCCTTTGTTACGCAGTGTCGGCAGTTCACGGCCCCTCGCCCCGGGCTCTGCCACCCAGAGCTTAACCTGCAGCTCAACCTGCACCGAGCTCCCTGCACTCCACGGATTCCTCAACACGCTTCAGCAGGCAGTTAGGACATCCAACAATACCCCTCGGTTAACAGGCCCTTCCAGTGTCTCCCTGCGACACATAGCCAACACAAAGTTATCATCTTTCAGACCTGCTGTGTAACAGCAGCTTCAGCCTGACAAAACACATCTCAGCTTCACTCAAACGCGCCATCCGCACAGCTCCCCAGGGGCCTCGCAGGTGCGTACAGGTAGCAGAGCCATCCTTAGTGAACCGCATACGCCAGCAGGACCGCGTTCTTTCCACCGAGACGAGAATTGGAAACTGCTGGGGGGGACAAACAGCCCAGCTGTCCGCGCTCGGCCGTCCCGCGGCACTCCGGC